CCGGAGCAGCGCCCGCGGCGGCCCGGCCCCTCCCCTGCGCGGCTCCCCGCGCCCCTTGCGCGCCCTGCCGCCGCGCGCCCGGCCCCAGCATGGAGACGGCAGAGAAGGAGTGCGGCGCCCTGGGCGGGCTCTTCCAGGCCATCGTCAACGACATGAAGGTACCCCGGGCGGGCGCCGGGCGCCGGTCCCCTCTGAGGGACGTGTGGCAGGCAGCGGTGTCCTGCTGTGGCTGTGTGGCGCGTTGTGCATGCGTGTGTGTGTGTGTGTGTGTGTGTGTGTGTGTGTGTGTGTTCGTTCTTGTCTAAGCCTGTCCTGCTGCACTCGCCCAGTACCATGGTTTCTGGGTGCCTGTCTGGGTCGGGAGAGGGGGTGCTCGCAGGTTGGGGTGTCCGTGAGATCGCCCCATACGATCCCGACCCGAGGCAGAGCACCCATGAGCGCTCGGTGCCCCAGACCCCTAAACTATGAATTGGGTTTGTTTCCAGGACCGACCTTTAAGGCCCTTTAACGGATCCAAGGTCTCTCGGGCCTCCGCCCCCTTCCACCACAATGCCCCCCCCCCAACACACACACACATACCCCGAAGCCCCAAAGCCCAGACAATGCTGTCACCGCCAAGGCAGGAAAAAATAATAAAGCAAAGAACCGTTAACTCTTTCCCCACCGGCCTTGGGCCTCTGCGTGGACGCAGCCCCACCCCCCACCAACAACCCCAGCGAGCTCCAGTACTCCAGCCCCCGGGGGGACTCATCCCTGCAGCCCGAGGAGAGGACCGAATCCACCTTGGGAGGAGGCAGGGAAAGGACTGTGTGGTGGCTAAGCAACCCCCACGTCCTGATCACTCAAGGTCAGGCTGAGCAGGCACCCTTTTCAGTTGGGGAAACTGAGGCCTGGGAATGGCTCAAGGTCATTCAGGAGACCATTGGATCCTGCTTCTGACCTCGGTTCTTATTATCCGTCTGGGAATTTGCTGAATTCTCCCTCACCCCAAAACAGGCCAGTGTTTGACAGGACTGCTCCTGACTGACTGGGCAGGGAGAGCGGCGGCAGGGTGGGAATCCAGAGCCAGTGTTCCTGCCCTTAGTCTACAGACAGGATGGCAGACAGGGAAGGTACCAGGCCCTGCACAGAAACTCCTGCGCCTCCCCGCTTCCCCACCCTAGGCTCACACTTACCAAGAATGAGCCAGAATCCTACTAGACCCTGGGGGCTGAGGAACTCACATTCAGGTGCGCCCTGCCCAAGGATTACAGGCAAGTGCTTTAGGAAGGTGGCGGCTTGCAGAGATGCAAGAGATTGGGGCTCCCCTCCCCGTGCTGCCAAGGGAACACCCCCAGTGAGGGGAGGCGTCTTTCAGATACTTGCCCCCCCCCCCCAGAAAGAGGCCTGAAACCACACTGGCCTGGGACTTGTCAGTTAGCAGCATGTCAGCATAGTTCTGTACTTTCCCCTGGGACCCACGGCCCTGGCAACTCCACCATCACCAGCCATCAGCGTTCCAGGCCCACCTTGGAAGCGGTATGACCCTGGGGCCAGCATCCCGTTCTGAACCTGAGTAATCCAGACCATCGCCCCTAGCCACTCCTGGGCTGGCAGAGGGTGGGCGCCTCCCGCACCGCCTCCCACTGGCAGCCACTTGGCAAACACTGCAGCAGGCAGCCGCTTCTGCCCAGAAGAGATGGCAGGATTGTGTCCTCCATTTCCGTCAGTTGCAAGGAACTCCGGTGAGCCCCGGGTCCATTCTCAGCGAGGGGCTCTAGCTAAGCGACGGGTGAGATTTTAGATACGGTGGGGGCAGGATGGAAGAGGCTTTACCGGGTGTTGTCATATCACATAGGCTAGGCCCCTGTTGATGACATGCATGTGATCAGGGACCCTGGCATGAGAGACGGGACCAGTCACCTGGAGGCTGAGGGACTAGACTTTTAGAAGGCTGCTTCTGGCTGCCTCACTCAGTGGCCACCATGAAGAAGTTCGGGGAGACTCATATTACCCATGGGGTTGATCCCCAATAAGCTCCCTCACGACATTCTCTGGAGTCACTAAAAGGCCCAACCCTGGGCTAGGGGATCCCCGGTCATATCTGCGAGTACAGGGACAGAGGCGGATACAAACCCAGAGGCTGAGAGAGCCCTAGAAACTAGTAAACTAGTTCACTAGTTCTCTGCTAACTAGTTTGCCCTGCCTTCAAGCCAGCTGAACCCAGAGACTTGAGCTCTCTGGGGCAATAGACCAAGTCAACAGAGGCGGCGGGACGCCCACCAAACACTGAGCCCATCTTAATCCAGAGTGGGGAGTGTCCCACAGACACATAGGCCCTGGCTTATGGGGCAGGGCTCCTCACAGAGAGCTGGGGCTCTCGCCCTCTTAACCAGTTTCTATCTGCCCACAGTAAGTGGCCCCTTTAGCCCACACACAGGCCCCGATTTTACAGTGCCTGGGGCTGGGCACACATGCCCAAGGTCATCCCCAGACCCACTCCATCTCCACCACAGCTGCTTCAGTCTCATCCTGGCCACTTGAATACCTCCCCTCTGCTCCAGAGCAGTCTCCCGTGCTTGTGACAAGACCCTGTGTCTCCCCCCTTCTCTCAGTCCCTGTCACCTCCCTACACAGAAGCATGTGTAAGGTGCTCCTCACCCTGCTCCCCTGGAAACAGGATCCCTTTATCCTGATATGTCAGGTATAATATCAGACCTTGACCCTGGTCCCTTGACCCTTTGACCTCACTGAGCTTCTAGTTCCTCGTCAGAAAAATGGGGCAATAGTGGGCTCCGTTCAGGATTCACTCACAAGGTGGTGGGAGGTACTTGAGCACACACCAGAAGGAACTGAGCGAGTGCCTGGCCCAGAACACCTGGCCAGTGGGTGCAGTTACTGTGGCTAGTGATGACGCACATGAGCCAGGTGAAGCTCGGACCCTCCCTGGGGCACCTGTCAGGCCCTTTCAGCTCTTTTACCCGAGGTCCTTTGTGAATCAGAGGGACATGGGAAAAAAAAATTCAGGTCCTTAAAGACTGAAGTTTCCAGTTCCATCTACCGAGGAGAATTGGGGGGGGGGGGGGGGCTTGCCTCCCCAGCACCGTGGTTTTCCCCACCAGCACCACTGGGGGAGCCCTTACTCTCTGAGACGGCCTAGGGGTTGCTGAGGGGCTTGAGCTTTCCTGGGGATCAGGAGAACTAACTTTGGACACCCTGACCCCAGCATTTCCTCTGCCCTGTGGAGGGAGACCTCAGCAGGCTTCCCTGTTTAGAAGGTGTGAGGGTGCCTCCTCTTGAAAGACCCCCAGAGGCTGGCCCCTGGGTTAGCTCCAGACGACTGCTAGGGGCGACTTCCCTGGCCTTTTCATTCAGAGCTGCGTGGGTGGGGACAGCCCACCCACAGC